ATCCCGCTGGAATGCCCTGAACACGAGGGTGTCAGCAGTGGTGGCCCAGGCACAGCTGCTCAGGTGAAGTCCAGAATCCCGGATCGCCGTAGCAGTGGTCACGCCTCTCCTCCCCCCGTTTATGAAGCACTGACAGTGGGTTTGACACTCTTGTGCTCTCTACATGTCTCAGGTCATTGAAGCCTCACTGTCTTATGAATTAGATCCAATTCTGATTTCCTTTTACGGATGGAAAAACACACTCAGAGAGGTTGAGAAGTCAGGCCGAGGCCACACAGTGGGTAGGTGTCCCAGCTGGGTTCTGATTTCAAAGGCCTCGTTAAACTATATGTGAGTGAGGTGGGGAGAGGCAGGTGCCTTCAAACATCTACTGCCTTCTGCTCCGGCTGCTGCCCTCTGCCAGATAGTGATCATGCTAACCCTTCTCTCTGACAGACAATGATCATATTAACCCTTCTCTCTGCCAAACAGTGATCATACTAACCCTTCTGACAGACAATGATCATACTAACCCTTCTCTCTGCCAAACAGTGATCATACTAACCCTTCTGACAATGATCATACTAACCCTTCTCTCTGACAGACAATGATCATACTAACCCTTCTCTCTGCCAAACAGTGATCATGCTAACCCTTCTGACAGACAATGATCATACTAACCCTTCTCTCTGCCAAACAGTGATCATGCTAACCCTTCTGACAATGATCATACTAACCCTTCTCTCTGACAGACAATGATCATGTTAACCCTCCCCTCTGCCAGATAGTGATTATGCTAACCCTTCTCTCTGTCAGACAGTGATCATGCTAACCCTTCATGTCCACAGGACCTGGTGAAACATTCCAAGCCCTTTCTCATGTACTCTCTGGTTTCATCTTTGCAACAACTTGAGGAAGTATAATCAATGAACTGCATGTTGTGATGAGATGAATTAGCTTCACTTCACAGATGAGGAAGATGAGGTGAGAAGTACCTTCCCCAGGGATCTGCAGGCTGGATCTGGCCCTTCCTGTCCCCAGTGTTGGATTTGTTTTTTGCTATTGCAAACAGAGTGGCTTGTAGTTAGAAGGCACCTCTTCCACTCTTCATTCATACCCTCACCAGGTACTTCTGACAACTCCACAGGTGTGTGGACAGGACAGAGTCAGCGAGTGGAGGTAGAAAAGGGGAAGGCGGGTGTGAGAGTCAGCGTGGGTATGAATCTCAGCTCTATCTCTTTGTGTCATGTGACTTTAAGCAAAATGTTTCCTCCTTTAAGCCCTAGTTTTCTCATCTATGAAGTGAGAGGTGATGATGAAGATTAAGATGGTGATGATCCCCACCTCAATGTGCAAGTCTTACAGCTCACTGAGTTCAACCTTTCCATTTCACAGATGAGAACATTGAGGCCCAAGGAGGATGGAGAAGGGGCCCCAGCTCTTACTGGGAGCAAGTGTGGGAACTGCTGTCTGACTCTTGACCTCAATGTTGGCATGTGGTTGCAGTACCCAGGCTCCTTTGGCATTCCTTCCATAGAGCTGAGGCCAGGGAGGTGAGGATGGGCCTGGGGCAAGCCTCCGAATGTGTGGGAATGCGTCCCCCACCCCAGGAATCAGGCCTGGCTGCCACTGTGTGTTTGCTCAGGACCCTTTGGCCGTCATCCATGGTTAGAAAAAGACAGGGCAGCCAAGACAAGACAGAGGCTAATTACCTTGGATAATAGGAAACTGGGGATCGGCAACAATGAGGGTGTCTAGGCCTCTGGCCAAGCAAGGGCAGGAGCCACGGATGCCCGGCCTGGCCCAGCCATGTATCCTGAGTAGAGATTCCTGCTCAGGGTCACCCTCCAACTCCAATAACCCAAGGGTGTAGGAGCTGGCCACACTGTTTGCAGACCCTCTCCCTCTACTGCTTTTTGTTTGCTTTCATTCAAAAGCAAAACAAATGAAACAAACAAGGAAATTCAATTTAAACAGGGCCTGAGCACTGGTGTTTCTGTTTTGTTACACCAGGGTGAGCTTAGGACAGAAACCCAGCCTTGACTTTCATTCCTCCAGTTGGTCTCAACCCCGTGGCACTATGTAAAATGGCATGATAGATGGGCTGCAAAAGCAATGTGCCTTTCTAAGTGGGGTGGAGAGAGGGAGTGGGGATGGAGGGGGCCTGATTGAGAGAGAGAGAGAGAGAGAGAGAGAGAGAGAACAAGATAGCAAAATTCAAAGAAGAAATGGTAGAGAAACTGAGACACACACAATAACAAAAATTAAGAGCATAACCAATAGAAAGGCGAAGAGGGAATAGTTGAGAGAATGGCAGGCAGACAAAGTCAGGGTGCTATGTAGAAAACACACACACACAGAGAATGAAAGGCAAGAAGAGACAGAGATTCAGAAAGGCACGGTAGTGCAAAACAAAAGTGAGAGAGGTAGAAAAGTTGGAAAGGCCAGAGCCCAGAAGGAGATGAAGGAGGCAAATGAGAAAAACTCCCGTGGCAAAGCTATGCATTCCCAGAACTCTCAAGCTGGGGTCGATCTCATACACCTTCACTTTGAAGATGCTGAACTTGCAAAACAAGGAGAGGGACGTTTAGCTCAAGGTCCCAGAGGCAGAAGTGGTGGTGGTGGGATATGAACCCAGACTCCCTGCCTGACAGACTGGTCCTGCACACCTGTGCCCCCTGAAGCCTTCCATCCCATGCTCTGGCAGCATGGATGAGGGGTTTGGTGTCCAATGGTCCTTAACCCCTAGAGTGCCAGGGAGCGCGATCGCGCTCCTCCTGTCTTTCACCAAAAGTGACGGGAGCGCTATCGCGCTCCTCCTTTAGTGTCACTATTAGATGCTAGTAGTTCACTCTTTATTGACAGATGGCACCTAAGGAAAATCAGCAAAAATGCCTTGGCAATTTTAGCACAGTTCCTAGGATATTGGTTGGCACTCAAAGGGTTAATGAAAACTCGGGGGCCTGGACCCATGCTCTCTTTCTATCCTATTTCTTCCTGAAAGATCCTGGATGGTCATTCTTTCCAGGGTTAGTGGGACCCCCACCTGCCTTACAGGATATAAATTCCTCCAGGATTTCCTTGAAAGAAAGATAACCTGCAACTAAGTCAAGCAGAATGAAGCAGAAAGAGGAAGAAAGTGACTAACATGCTGCAGGCCTCCTGGAAACCAGGAGATCTGGTCAACCCTGAGCATGGAGTTTCTCATGTGGTGCTCTTCCCTGTAACCCTGTGGGATAAGAACGATGACCAGCCCTCTTCTTCCAGAAAAAGAAGCCAATGCCACCTTCTCTGTGAATTCTGCCAAGATGTCCCACTGGAAGCGGTCTGGTAACCTATTGTACTTTGGGGATTCCGTGCCTAGAGCTCTCACTGTTCCCAATTGATGGTTGCCTTTCTGCATAAAATAAAACTTGGGCCCCAACACCTATGTGAGGTGCTTATTCAGTCAGTGGCAGAATCCAAGTCAGAAGGCCCAATGTTCAGCTTACAGTCCTGAGTATGGTGCATGAATAAGTTGGGTGTTGCCAATGAGCCTGAATATGTCGAGTGTTCACCATGGTCTTTAGAGAAGTCATGGTCTCCCCAAGGAAGTGGGGATAGAATGCTCTGGAGGTAAGGGAGATTCACAGATTGTGGAGGGATTACTATTTATTGAGCACATACTTAGATACTTTGCTAGGAGGTTTCTTGTTTATGTTCATGCAACTCTGCATCCTAAGTTTTATTATTTCTGTTTTACTGGGGTTCCTAGAGGTACAGCGACTTATCCAATGGTTAGTTATCTAAAAATGTCAAATCCAAATTGGAATACACTGTCTGTGGCCTTTCATACCATAAGTAGGTTATAAGTTATCTGATGCTAGAACCTTTGTCGTAATCACATTCGCACCTGCATTTCCTAGCCCAGTGCCAAGACATTGGAAACCCTCAAAATATAGCTGCTGAATAAGTAAATGAGTGCTGGATGAGTCAATAAAAATGCAAATGAATAAAAGAACTGATGAACAAATAAGTGAATGAACGATGGAATATAAATGGATGAATAAATAGATGGATGAATAGAAGGGATGGATGGATGGATAGAAGAAAAAAGGAAGAGAGAGATGAATGGAGGAATGAATGATTGGTTGGGTAGATGAATACATGAATGAATCACTGAGTGAGCGAATAAAAGAAACAAATGAATGAGTTGAATAACTGCAGTAATTGTGATAATACTGCTCATCTTATTAACAACCACAGCTTTCTAGGTTGGTAAGAGACTGGTCTATCGCTTCATGATTAGGGTACAGGAAGAAAACTGGTCTCTAGAACTCTATGTCATAGCTTATCATGGCTGCTTCCAGATGTGGCAACACTCACTGAGACGGGAAACAAAAGGAAAATAAGCCCCCTTTCCCTCTGAGATTACAGAGGGGGCTCAGAATGACCTCCTTTTTCATCTCCAGAAGTTTGGATGCAATGACTCTAATGTACTCTATGAAGGAGTGATAATGCTGCTATTTCTAAGGGACTGGCTGGATCTATCACTAAAAATTTATATGTACATACATGTATATGCATATATACTTATGTACATGTATATGCATGTATATGTGTACATGGTTAGCATGCTTATATATGCATAGTATGTATATATACTTCAGATGTGCTAATATAATATTTTTCAGAGGAGATGTCATGGAACTGAGAAAAGAACACAAGGCAAGGGCCCCTGTGCCAGCCCTCCATGCTAACTTGCCACTTTCCCTCTCAGCCTACAGATTCTGTGTCAGCTGGAGGTATGCTTTTGGGTTTCTGGCCTCCCTGGGCCCTACAGCACTAACCATGTAAGATTCTGTGACTTACTGTGGCCAAGCTTCTCCAGTGGATACTTGGAAACCTTAGCATCTCAAGGTGCACACACAGGCTGGCCTATAAAACACTGGGTTGGCCTGGCCAGACTGCGCATGCCTCGCCTCCCAGACTGAAACCAGCCCTGTCTGCTTCACACTCCCCACGCACCCAGCAGGTCTTACTTGTAGAGGCCGTCGGGCTCCAGACACTTGAAGATGACGGAGTAGATACTGACTTCGGGGACCTCTCCGTGGCTTCGACCAGCTGCTACACAAGATGTGCCCAGGCCAGAGAGTAAGTCATCGGCAAAACTCAGGAATTCTCCTGGAGGGAGACAGAGAAAGATAAGCTCCCCGGCTCAGGCCTTGGTGAGCAGACATTCTTGCTGCTGTCCAATCCCATCAACTGTCTGCATACCACTGCTGAGAGCGTTAGTGGAGAGAATAAGCACAAGATATGAAGATGACACCGGTCAGTACATAGCCCTGAACTCCTTCTTTAAATTCACCCGTGAACTTTCTCAACTGTAAGTGGGGATACTAGTACCTACCTTCATAATATTGTACCAAGGTTTGATTGATGTAAATTATTGTGTAATAAAAATGCATGAAAAGCCTAGAGAATTGCATTTCCCTTCCTGTATAACAAAGGAGTTGAACTAAGAATAGAAAATAGGTTTTGTGTCACCTGGCACTAGATTCGTGGAGTGTTGTGATGGACAGAGACCTGGTTTAGCTAAGGAGGTAGGAATTTCAAGACTGATCAGTGATGAGGGGCATGGGATAGAAAGGGACGGTGAGCCCTGGCTGGTTTGTCTCAGTGGATAGAGCATCGGCCTGTGACCTGAAGGGTCCTGGGTTCAATTCCAGTCAAGAGCACATGCCTGAGTTGCGGGCTTGACCCCCAGCGGGGGGCATGCAGGAGACAGCCAATCAATGGTTCTCTCTCACCATTGATGTTTCTATCTCTCTCCCTCTCCCTTCCTCTCTAAAATCAATAAAAGTATATTTTTAAAAAAAAGAAAGAAAGGGATGGTGGAAGAACAAGAGCTGGATGCTGTGATTTCTAGTCACCTAACCATCAGGTTTTATTTATTTACTAGAGGCCCGATGCATGAAATTCATGCAAGAGTAGGCCTTCCTTCTCCCGGCTGACAGCACGGCTTCCCTCTGGCACCCGGGACCCGGGCTTCCCTCACAGCCCCAGCTTCGTCCGGAAGGTCGTTCGGAAGGACGTCCATTCTAATTTGCATATTATGCTTTTATTATTATAGGTTTTTAAGGTTTTTTAATTGATTTTTAGACAGAGAGGAAGGGAGAGGGAGAGAGGGGGGAAACATCAACTTGAGAGTGAGACATCAATCAGCTGCCTCCTGCAAGCCCCTTACTGGGGATCAAGCCCACAACCCAGGCACGTACCCTGACTGGGAATCTAACCAGCCACGTTGCAGTGCACGGAACAACACCCAACCCACTGAGCCACATCGGCCAGGGCCAGCCATCCTATGTTAGAAAGCAGCTGATGTTAAAGAAATAGGAGTGATGCAGAAGATTTGATGAAGACTAGAAAGAATGCACATTTGGAATCCTGAGATTTAATCTTAGCTCTGTGAAGAATTTGCTGTATAGCTTTGGGCAACTCAATTCCCATCTCAGAGCTGTGATTTTCTCCTCTGTAAAGTGGAGGTGCTAGAATCACTATTAGGATTTTTGAAAAATAAAATAAAAATGTAGATGTGCACAAAGATTAAGTTATGAGGATAGACATCATGGCACTATTTAAATAGCAAGAGTTTAGAAACCAAATGTTCAATGACAAAGAAACAGCAATATCAATTAGAGTTCAATGGTGCAATGGAATATTTTATAGCCCCTAAAAGTCATATTGTGGAATAACATGAGTTACATGAAAGGATACTCATGACATATCAAGTTTATAAACAGGTTACACTATTACAGAATAACCTCACTTGGGGTGGAAATTTTACACGTGTATCTATTTAGAAAGAGAAGGGAAAAAAATACAGCCAATGCATAACAGTGGCTTTGTCTGCAAAGTGAGATAATGGGTACTTTTTCTCTTGTTTTTGCTTATCTCTGTTTTGTTAATTACCTACAATGAACATGGGGGAAAATCAATAAAATTTATTTAAAAATAGATAAAGTGAATGAGCCAGACCAAATGGCCGCGGAGTTCCCGTCCAAGTCTAAAATAGGATGATTTCGGAGCAAAGCAGGCATGTGTGGTATTTGATACCACAGAGTACGAAACGGTCTGAGGCCTCTACACTGCTGAGTCCTGGTCCTGCCTGACCCAGAGGGCCCCACACTCTCTACGCGCTTGTATCCTCAGGAATAAACAAGAGGAGCATGTCCGTTCAACGCTACCTTCTCTACCTGGGCTGAAGGACAATCTGATTTGATGGAACCATCGCCGAACAGCGTCTGGGACGACTGAGACCCAGAGAAGCCACGTGGCACATCTGTCCCAGGGAACGGGGTGGGCAGCCCACGCGGATAGCTTCCTGTCCGCCCTGCTAAGGGAAGTCCACTCTCCACTCACAAGTGGACTGTGTTAATGCTTGTCTGACTGAAGTGTCTGGATGGGCCCGGATTTGGGTGAATGACGGTTCTCTAACGTATCGCTCCCTGTGGTCCAGGACAACAGAGCGGATGGGCAGTGTTTTCTGTTTTCCACTTTTTATTTATGATTTATTTAATATATTTTTATTGATTTCAGAGAGGAAGAAAGAGGGAGAGAGAAAAAGAAACATCAATGGTGAGAGAACCATTGATCGGCTGCCTCATGCGCGCCCCACACTGGGGACTGAGCCCACAACCTGGGCATGTGCCCTGACCAGGAATCAAACCATGACCTCCTCATTCATAGGTCGATGCTCAACCACTGAGCCATGCCGGCCAGGCCTCTGTTTCCCTCTTTTTAAAACGACAGTGTACAGTGCACAGCCTTGATCTGTAGATGCCAGAGCGCATGTCTGGATCAGGCTGACAGAGACAGGCCAGTTCAGCGGCTCTCGCCAGACAGACTCGGGACCGAATTCTATTTCCACCCTTTATTGCAAATCCCTTAACCTCTTAAAGTCTCAGTTTTCCTTTCTGTGACCAGGGACCAATAACTCTTTTATAGGTTTGGAGTCTAGAAAGAAAAGTGGAGTCTAGGAAGAAACTTCCGGTCCAGAACCAGAGGTCTTGCTAGACAACAAAGAGGTGAATGAAACCCTTTTCTCGTCGCAGAGTTCTCGTCCCCTATTTCTCCTGGAGGCCTCTTGTGTCAGTGCCTTTCCTGGTAAAATCATAAACCCACAACGTGCCTCTTCCAATAGGTACCAGCGCAGAACAACGCACGGGGTGAAAAGTGGAAATAAAAGCAAGCAAGCGGGGGTGGTGGTGGTGGACATGGGATCATTCACCGAAGGCAGTGGGGGCTTTGTTTCTCTTGGTTTCTTAGGATTCCCAGTCTGGCTGCTTACACTTGTTTTCTTTGCGCTTGGATCCATGTCTGTGTGCTTTTCAATTTGTTCCCAGATAGCCATTGGAAAAGTTGGCCCTTCGTGAGGGAATGCAGTATGCTGTGGCCTGTATTAATGAGCTGTCTTCAGGCCAAAAGATGGTTGACATTCATTTTCAAATGGGCATAGCTTTTCAGATATTTCCATGCATTTCAGGATAATTTAGACCATGGACAAAAGCCCCATGAATGCTGGTGCACAGTTCTACGGTTTATAGGTTCAGTTCAAGTGAAGAAACTGGATAATGCGGAGCATATATCTAGTCATTCCAAGGGCATTCTGAGGACATGTAGGTCTCAGTTCTGTTTGGGACTAACTATACATAAGGATCTTCCAATGGGAAGAATTTAAAAGAAGAAAACGGACCTTTAGCAATAACTTTTCTTTTTTCCATATAATCCTCACATATAATGAGGTAAATGGTAGTGTCTCCATTGTAAAGCTGAGATGACGCTTGCAAATTTAGGAGGAAACGGGGCTGAGATTTGAACCCCTTTTCCTCCTAACGCCAAAGCCACACCTTTTCGTTTATACGATGCTGCCTCCTAGAGAAAGTTTATAGAGAGTGAGCTTTCTCAATCCTCTTGTTTGCCATTGAATTCCTGCCACTCTCTTAGCTCTATGGGCTTGAGGAACGAACTAATAAAAGAAATGGTCCCTGACCTTCTACAGCTTGTAATCTGACAACGGGAAGGGTTGTTAAATACAAGAACAGACCCATAAAGTAAATTGTAATATTGCTTTTCTTGGCACTCTGTTCCAGAAGGTTTAAACGCGACCTAGATGGAGGCAGGTGAATGAGGCAACCCCTCCCTGGCCCTCCTCACTTAGGGGAGGGTTCGGGGGAGATAAAAGAGGCCTGGGGCTTCTCTATGCACAAACGCATTTCAGTGCAATTCTCCACATACATGTGGTTCCACAGGATAACATACCCCGCACGCCTGGCAGCGGTACAGCTGATGGACAGTAACACAGTGCAGCGGTGAAGAGGTGAAGAGGCTGGGCTCTGAATTTACTCTGCCTGAGATTAAATCCTGGCCCACCCCACTTACAGCGCGCCTTGGGCAGGTCCTATTTTCTCCTATGTGAATGGGCATAATCATAGCACCTAACTTGCAGTGCTGTTGTTAATAGCATATAAAATATCGTGTACATTGTTAGAAACCAACCAGCACAATGTCTGGTAAACTGCAAGAGCTCAAAAATATTTCAACTATCAGTATTGTTTTATTTTTTTAAAATGTTTTTATTGATTTTTAGATAGAGAGGAAGGGAGGGAGAGATGGAAATATCAATGACGAGAGAGAATCATTGATCGGCTGCCTCCTGCACGACCCCTACTGGGGACTGAACCCAGGCATGTAACCTGACTGGGAATCGAACCCAGGAACTCTTGGACCATGGGGCCAGCCTGGCATGTCAGTATTGTTTTTGTCACTATGGTTGTCATAACCCAGAGAGAGACAAGGACCCTTAGAGATTTTTGTTTTTATCCAACCTACTCCTTTGCCGGTGAAAACTGACGCCCCAAGAAGGAAAGGGGCCTGCCCATGGCCATGCACAGAGTTGGGGTAGACTTAGAACAAAGCTTGCTCTCTTAATCCTAGGGCCTATCAGAGAAGGCATACCAGCCGACCTAGGAGACAGCGTTGCCGGGAACTGAAGAGCTCCCGGAGCTGCCCCAGGAGCCCTTGCTCCTCAGGTTCTGACCAACTTTATTCCACATGAGTGTGAGCCACGGCTCCTGGCCATTTACTATGTGCTGGGCAGTGTACGAGGCACCAGGTTCCACCCG